GCCCAGTGCCGCCGGCACCCACTGGGTACTTACAACCTGATCTGGCCGGTGGAGAGGGCACTGGCAATCCAGAGCAGGTCCAGGGTTTTGAAGGGCACCAGCACAAAGCTGACGTTGGCGGGCAGGTTCTTGGCACTCTCGGGGTACATGAAGTGGTGCGTGGTCCGACCACCCACATCGTCCTCGAAACCCACCGTGGGGGCCTGGTTCATCCTGGGGAGAGATTGAGGATGGTAGCACCCCCTCCCAGCCACCCTGTCCCCTGCAAACGGTACGGGCATCCCCCATCAGCTGTTGAACGGCACTGAGGAGCAGTTTCCCAGCCTGCTGGTGCTCAGGGTGCCAGTCCAGGGGAGGCGGCAGGGCTGGACCCTCTCGCACCCATCCCCAGCACCTGGTGGGACCCGTGATGGGCCCTTTGGCCAAGCAACTGGAGCCAGGCTGTGGCCATGGTGTGCAGCACACGGATAAACCCCCTGGCATCTCCCAACCCACAGCAGACCCAGAGATGCTGCTGCGATGCACAGGGGGGAGGTCTGCACCTCCCCATGCCTCTGCGCTGCCCATGGGGCTGAGTGGGCAGGCAGTGCCCTGGCAGTGGTCCCCTGCCCTCACCGCATGATGAAGTCATGCCTGTCGATCTCTGGCCCGTAACCGGAGCCGCGCAGGTTGCCCGAGTTGCCAACCACGGCGCAGCGGCGGCAGTGGTGCGGGTCGTGGGAGCGGTAGGGATCTTCACCCGGCACAATCTGGAAGAGCTTGCTCAGGACCTCGTGGGTGTTGTGGGACTTGAACTGTGGCTGAAGCATCTGCGGGAGGGGAGGAGGAGGATGGGGAGCATCAGCCAGCAGCCCCCTCCTCACCGGTGGAGGAGAAAGCTGTGCCCCTCTGTGCCAGAGCATGCTGCTGGGGGACCCACAGCGGGGGGACCTGTCCCCTCACTCACCATCCACCACCTCTGGACATCGGGCGGCAGGTCCATGTTCTCCTTGGTCCACACCGGGGAGACGGTGCCATCGTAGC